GGCTTGGTGTGGCATTGTGAGCATTTTCGCGAATGTAGGTCTTCTAGGCCCCGTAACCCCCTCACCGCTAGGTTTGGTTGGGCCTCCGGCCCGGCGGATTCGGCTGTCATGGACCATCTCACTAAGGTGCAGGAAGCCGTGTGGCGTCTTCGCCACGGGGAGGAGCGTTGATTCGCAGCTAAGGACTTTGCGTGCTGATAGCAATTGAAGGCCTACAGCACCTACAACTCCATATATATAGATCCAAGCCAACCTCACTGCATTTGCGGCTATTCGATCCGATGGATCCGCGGTGACGTGGGGTGATGCCGACTATGGTGGCGACTGTTCGGCAGTCCAAGCTCAGCTCAATGGTGTCGCAAGCATTCAGCAGGCTCGCTACGCTTTTGCTGCGACCCGATCAGACGGATCCTTGTTGTCTTGGGGCGTTCCTGAACCGTGGCACTTTGGTGGGTCTCCAGCTCAACACGTGGTCGGCGTCCAAGTCACGGACGGGGCGTTTGCTGCACACTCCTTTCGGATGTTCACGATGCTTTTGTGGTTTTGCACTTTTTGCATCAGCAATGCAAATGAAATTAGCAATGACTTCGCTGTATGTTGTGGGCCTTCCCATTTCGACAGCACCCTACTTAGTAGAAATGCAACTTTTGATTGCCCTCCTGGACAGTCTTTCTTGCGTGATGATTTCGACTGAGTTTCTCATAGTCATGTGATTTCCTGGTTGTGGGCTTCCTGCGCCCACTGGCTACTAGGGTTTGTTTGGCTTGCCACCTGGGTGCGTTCCGTGTTTGAGGTCACGGACTAGCCTTCGCATGTGCTTTTGCCGGCCATTGCCTAGATTCTGCCTTAGCGCCTGACTCTTGTACTATAGGTATACCGTCCGCATGGACACAGCATCCCACACCGTCACAGTTGCTTGTACAGGAAAATGGAGTTGTGCTCATCGTGCTGCGTGCTTGCCAGCGCAGACCAAGTCTCATGTTGCTAAGTGAACGTCGTCCTACACAAAAGCATGTTCTTGAAATGATAAGATATCCCCACACCGCTGGGGCACGTCAGGTTTCCAAATCCTTGATATGCTTTTGAGCCTTCACTCGCTGCCACTTTGCCAGGCAGACCTCTCACTTCGACCAACAGCAGAACACATGTCAACCTAAACATACCAATAGAAGACACGTGCAGGCATATACACGCACCTGCGCCACGTGCACACGCATGAGTATAATGTGTTTTGTTCACGATCCCAGCCATCTTCCACCATTCAGATCCACTGACCTCGCGCCGTTCCCCAACCGGTGTGCATTCATTCCTGTTGCCAGGTGCAGCGAGGGTCGACGCCGCGGTTGACTCACTGCCCGCCAGAAAAGGGATCGCGCGTCTCGCTTTCCGTTGTTTGCCAAGCTGGTTTGCAGACCGTTTTTCTTTTTGGCGTGTTCGAAGGTGCATAAAACATTGTCAAAGGAAGTTTAGTGTGCAAAACTTCCGTGTTACGGACATTCAACAGCTGTTCGACCACCACTCATCAAACACCACTCATCAAACACCACTCATCATACACCACTCATCATACACCACTCATCATACACCACTCATCATACACCACTCATCATACACCACTCATCATACACCACTGATCATACACCACTGATCACACACCACTCATCATACATCACTCATCATACACCACTCATCACACACCACTCATCATACACCACTCATCATACACCATGGATCAGACACCACTCATCATACACCACTCGTCATACACTACTCATCATACACCACTCATCATACACCACTCATCATACACCATGGATCAGACACCACTCATCATACACCACTCATCATACACCACGGATCATACACCACTCATCAGACACCACTCATCATACACCATGGATCATACACCACTCATCATACACTACTTATCATCCAGTTTGCTCTAGCTTGTGCAGATTTCGTGGCAGGCGCAGTACTTTGTGAACCTCCATGTGCAGATTTCCTGGCAGGCACAGCGCTTTGTGAACCTCCATGTGCAGATTTCGTGGCAGGCGCAGGACTTTGCGAACCTCCATGTGCAGATTTCGTGGCAGGCACAGCACTTTGTGCACCTCCATGTGCAGATTTCGTGGCAGGCGCAATACAAACTGCGTTGTGGAGAGATAGCGAACGCACGAAATGCTGTATTTTTCAATGGAACCGGTGGCTCCGAAGCTGGCAAGTCAAGGTCTGCGGAACGACGGTTGCGAGACGGTCTCGGGTCATGCTCGGGCATGGTCGGAATCGTCCCTCCATTGGGATTAGAGTTTTCACTTGTTTCTTGAAGTGCAGATTTCCTGGCAGGCACAGCACTTTGTGAACTTGCACGTGCAGATTTCGTGGCAGGCGCAACACTTTGTGAACCTCCATGTGCAGATTTCGTGGCAGGTGCAGCACTTTGTGAACCTCCATGTGCAGATTTCGTGGCAGGTGCAGCACTTTGTGAACCTCCATGTGCAGATGTCGTGGCAGGCGCAGCACTTTGTGAACCTCCATGTGCAGATTTCGTGGCAGGCGCAGTACTTTGTGAACCTCCATGTGCAGATTTCCTGGCAGGCATGTGCAGATTTCGTGGCAGGTGCAGGAGTTTGTGAACCTCCATGTGCAGATTTCGTTGGTGAACCTCCATGTGCAGATTTCGTGGCAGGCACAGCACTTTGTGCACCTCCATGTGCAGATTTCGGGGCAGGCGCAATACAAACTGCGTTGTGGAGAGATAGCGAACGCACGAAATGCTGTATTTTTCAATGGAACCGGTGGCTCCGAAGCTGGCAAGTCAAGGTCTGCGGAACGACGGTTGCGAGACGGTCTCGGGTCATGCTCGGGCATGGTCGGAATCGTCCCTCCATTGGGATTAGAGTTTTCACTTGTTTCTTGAAGTGCAGATTTCGTGGCAGGCACAGCGCTTTGTGAACCTGCATGTGCAGATTTCGTGGCAGGCGCAACACTTTGTGAACCTCCATGTGCAGATTTCGTGGCAGGTGCAGCGCTTTGTGAACCTCCATGTGCAGATTTCGTGGCAGGTGCAGCACTTTGTGAACCTCCATGTGCAGATGTCGTGGCAGGTGCAGCACTTTGTGAACCTCCATGTGCAGATTTCGTGGCAGGCGCAGCGCTTTGTGAACCTCCAGGTGCAGATTTCGTGGCAGGCATAGCGCTTTGTGAACCTCCATGTGCAGATTTCGCGGCAGGCACAGCACTTTGTGAACCTCCATGTGCAGATTTCGTGGCAGGCACAGCATGTGGGGAGCTGGAAGCTGAGAACTGGCGACTTTGTAGTACAACTTTAGTACGCGGAGTATCTGGCGAGCTGGACGATGAGAACTGGCGACTTTGTAGTACAACTTTAGTACGCGGAGTATCTGTGGAGCTGGAAGCTGAGAACTGGCGACTTTCTAGTACAACTTTAGTACGCGGAGCAATCT